AGGGTTTCCCCGCGAGTAGGGGAGGCGCAAAGGGTGCCAGCCGAATCCCAAGTTCACAGGCTTCTCCCGCCTGTGATTTCAGTGGGTCTCCGCCTTCGCCGTGGCGGTCAGACCCTAATTTCCGTGGTGCAAATTCCTCCCGATCGGAGGAACTCCGCCATTGCCTGGAGGCGCCAACCCGGAAGGATGCTACCACCCTTCAGCGAGCTGACTGCCTGGTTCCAAGAAATTCTTATGTGCGACTGAGACACCTGTGCACCAACACATGGGTCACCAGTACCAGTATCCCAATAGACAAAGACGAAGAAAGGCCTGTGATGTTAAAGATTGGGACCTGCCAAACGAAAGAAGACAAGGAAGCATTTGCTATTGTGTCTGTTCCTCTGTCTGAGGTTAGAAATTTGGATTTTGCTAATGATGCCAACAAGGTTTTAGCATCCACAGTTAAAAAGTTGGAGAATGGCTCTGTAACTCAAAATAAAAGGAGGTTTGTAACCAAACTGTTGGAAGATTTCATTTTCTTCGTTGCTGATGTGCACAATAATGGCCAGGAAGTGTTGGATGTGGTGGTCATTAAGCCCAACCGAGAGAGGCAAAAATTAATGAGGGAACAAAATATATTGGCACAGATATTTGGGATCTTGAAAGCTCCATTTAAACACAAAGCGGGAGAAGGAGCCATACTGAGACTTGAAGATCTGGGCGACCAGAGATATGCCCCGTACAAATACATGCTGAGGCTTTGTTACAGAATCCTCCAGCATTCCCAGCAGGACTACAGGAAAAACCAGGAATACATTGCTAAGAACTTCTGCGTCATGCAGTCTCAGACCACCAAACATTTGATTCCAATATGTTAAGAAAAGAAGGCCTGTTGCCAATAACCTGTTTGCAATATCTCTAGAACCCATTTATAACATCAAGCCTCCGTCTGGAAGCACCCCAGGGTAAGATGTGTTTTGGTTTTTATTGTTACATTGCTGTTGCTGGCGGTTCGTAGTTCTTAACTGTTCAACTTGTGATTTGCGGGCTCTGGCTTATTCTGTTGTACATTTTGGAAGCCACCTTGGGTGGGCCTGGTGTAGAAAGGAATTTCTCCTGTAAAATCAATAATAGTCACTGCAGCCTATCTCTAGCGCAATGTGGAAACAAGGGTAGGCAAGGATTACAGGAACTAGCTGTGCAAAAGCTTATTTATCGGTGGTATATGCCATAAGTGTGTGCCAAACCCTAGGAGATTTTAAAACACCACTAAGATAGTAAACATTGCCAAGATAAGGATTATTATCTGGATGCAACACAGAGATTTTAATGATAATTAGAGCTTGCCCCGGGGGGGGGGGAGGAATAGAACAGTAGAGAAAGCTAGAGTACCATTTCATAATTTTGCAAAGCCTGTTTAAATTAATCCTGTAGTTTATTAAATCTGCTTACTCCGGTAAAAATGCAGCACAGCTTTGGCAATGCTACTGAATATAAAGTTTCTTTCCGTGCTTTTGACTTTCCTTAACAGGTTCCTTTTCCAAGAGATTGTAAGCATAGAAAATGAAACTGGTTTGTGTACACTGAGGATGGATTAGCTGTGGCACACGCAGAGCTGTATATTTCTGCCAACATGCATCCCAAATGGAATTTATTTTGAGTTATCGCAGGTGAAACACATTAGCTCCATCCGCCCCGGAGTCACTTGGAGCAGAGCATTTGTTAATTCATCTCACTTGGAGGGGTTGCCTGTAATGTCTACCTAGGGGGCTCATTCATAAGTGCTATCATTACTAGGTGTGCTGGAGCATTGCAGAAGGATATTTTCCCAACCAGATTCAGTTTATGTATGATTTATTTATTAGCGGGATTCCTAAAGCCGCCCAATAACAATAAAATCAAATTTAAAATATAGTAAACAATAAGCAGCCACAGTCCTTAAAATGGTCTAAACAACAACAAAGGCAGCTGAACCAAACTGCCCCTTTCATTTTGTACTTCTAATGGTAGCTGTGAAGTGTTTATTAAAAATTGGACATGAAAGGGCCGGATGCCCCTCTCTCAGGAGACTATCTGGGATCTCCAATGGAAAGGGTCTTTTCTCACATCTCTGGCCAGCCAAACTGCCATTAGCAGAGGGGCAGCACGTTGACCTCAGAAACAGAGGGGAGTTCTCCAACTGTCTCTTACGCAAGGAGGCAAGTCCTGGGATTACTTGGTTCCAGGCAGCTAGAGCCAAAAAGCTGAAAAGTTGCACCAAAGTCTGAAAACTGGTAGCCAGTAAAGCTGCTATAAAACTGACATAACATGATCCTTCCTGCCAGCCCCAGATAACAATCAGGCCAAAGCATTCTGAACCAATAGAAGGCTGCAGACCGTTTTCAAAAGCAATCCTGAATACAGTGCATTACAGCAATCCAACCTGAACAACTGTGGCCAAGTCTAACTTATCCAGAAAAGGACAGTGCTGATGGTACAGGTGAAATTGATAACAGGCACCCCTGCCCACCAGAATAATGCATTCAGAAGCAGAGTTGGATCTAAATGTCTCTGGATCCCCTTGTTGCATCGGGGCAGTATAGACCTATTCAAGTGTGGTTAAATGCAAATCGCCATGCTTCCTTTGCAGGTGCAAATTGGGGGCAGGATTTGGAGGACAGTAGTGTGACCCAAAAACAGTTTGCAGGGGAAAGGAGAGACTCGTAAACTGAGAGGCAGCAAATTGCCTTTCCCGATTTCTTGTTAAAAGCTGGTGATTCTGACAACGGTTTTGGCAGCGGGAGAGATCCAGGCTTGTATCTCTGAGAAGAAGGGGTGGTGGAATGAAGTCCCATTCTGCCACTGAAGGAAGTCCCATTCCCTGAAATTTTCTTTTGCACGGCCCTCCTCCCTATTTCAGGAATCACTCCAAAATGTCCATCTCCCCCGCCCCAAATCTAGCAGACCCTAAAACAAGACAATAGGTGAACAGTCCCTATGCCCTATGCTGGGGGGGAAATACTTCTTTTTGCTAGGCATTACATGTATAATGCCATATGGGAAGAAGCTCCTTTTGAAATAGGGACTCTTGAATATTAGCGCTATCATTTCCTCCACATATCAGAATGTTTGGCATGGAAACATAGAGGAGGTAAGCTTTTCCTTCTCTACAACTGGTTTCTCTAACCTATAGGGAAAAAATGGGGTGAACCAATTAGAAGCCGTTACTCAGTTGGCTTCATTTTTGTTTTATCTGGCAGGAAGGAATAAACTTTCATGTGTGAAGTATTACTGTTTCATGTCTCTGTACACAATTAATTTTTTCCCCAGGAATTGGCTTCCACCCAAAGCTTTCAAAAAGGGTCTTTATGCATTGCGCTTCATTCCTTTGCTGAATTTCAGATTTGAAAGTTCTTGGGGAGACATTCCCCCCCCCAAAGAAAACGCTTTATTATCATATCCAGACCCTTGAAATATGCCAGTAATGCAGAAATTTTTGTTGTTGGGTGTGTGTGTTTGTTTCTGCTCCTCAAACTTGTTTCTCCCTGCTAAGTTGTAAAGAGATGAATTCATCCTCAGCAATTTACTTTTCAAGAACTTTCTGTTTACATTTCAGCATCTGGCCCAGAACTATCCTTTATAAAAGTATAACATTTGAATTATGCTCGTATTTAGAATAACACTCTGGGCTTTTGTAAACTAGTCAAAGAGTTGGAACTTTATGGCTACTGATTCCCAATTTACCTGCGATCTTATTTTATCTACGCCATCCAACATCTGGCTTTGCTTTGAAATGTTACAAATGGGGCTTGTGTGCTTGCCCAGTGCATAATGTCACAGCACATAACAGAAAAGGAAACCCAAGAAAGTGCTGTTGCTAAACACATATGGGCCCAAGAAGAAGCCTTTAGTGAAGTCTCTACAATGCTAACTTCTTTTCATATGGGTAAATGGGGGTAAAAGGAGCACTTTTTATGCCAGTATCAATTTGCTGCAAAATTCTATATCTGCCTTGGTCGACAAATCTCTTACTCTGAAGCAAATGCACCGAACTGAATGAGGTTACTGAGAAGCAAGGAACTTACGGAGACCATCCTTAGTGATTTGGGGTTGCAAAAGACTTTTGATACATTTTGCTTTCATGTGGTGGTTGCTCTTACTAGGGGAATTCACTCTCGCGTGTGGCGTTCAGACCCTCTGACTCACGTACCTGGTCCTTCTTAGAATAATATCACATTATGGTTTGTTTGAAGTCTGGGGTGGGGTGGGGGAGGCATGGAAAGTAAATAGCATAGGATATGTGTAACCACTTCCAAGGAGAATAAGCAAAACATCTAATATCCAAAAAGGGGTTCATTTATGGCAACTTCATTTTTGTTGGTAGTCCCAGATCCCATGAACATTTGGAATATATTTATGAATAGAATCTTAATATTCATGGGGCCTTGGGAACATGCCAGAGCATCAAATAAAAAGTTCATGGCAAGTTAACTCTGGAGGGGAACTATAGCAGAATGTCAACAAGCCCACCACAAGGAATAATGCTAACACAGTACAACTTCTCTCTCTCATATATATATATATATATATATATATATATATATATATATATGCAATTATTTCAGTCTTTAACCCTCCCAAAGCCAGTTTAAAAATAAGCACTGTACAAATAAAAGTACCCTATCTATATAGTTTATTGCAGTATGGTACTCATGGACACCAGTTTGCCTTCCAGTTCCTCTTGAGGTGCCCATGAAAGATCTTGGTCAACATCCCCTCAAAAATCCACTGTCTGCTCTTTCTACTTAATTTCTGTTTGCCCTGGTTCAGCTTCCCCTACACTGAGCACCCACCTTTGAATATGCCAACATTTCACTGGATTTCAAGACTGGACACTTGACTCTAAACAGAGAAGAAATGCAAAGAGATTCCCTCTGTAAGCATCTGCCTAGGGGATAAAATGAAAGGCAGCAACCTGAAACAATTTATTTTGAGTAGAAACGATGATCTTCCCCAGTCATTGCAGTGCCAAGGGTTGATGTGTGTGTGCGTGTGTGTGCACGTGTGTGTGTGTGTGCGCGCGCACACACACACACACACACACACGTACGTGTATTTTACCCATACATGATGAATAGCAATGGTAGCAGTAGGACCCTACTTAGCTGAAAGGGTTGCCTGGCTATTCTTTGCCCCTAACCAAAGCACTTCTGCTATTCAAGAACATTTACTCATGTCAGGATTATGGGAAAACAGATTCCATGCTTGTTCTGCTTCTCCTATCAGAAATACTGATCAACCACCAGTATACAAAGGCCACTCAGTCTGTCAAGTGCAGTAAATCCTTAATTTCAAGACCGGCCTCGGCATGCCTTGGGAGTAGGAAATAATCGGTAATTTCTAAGTGACAATATTTGATCTGCTCCTCAAGGTCAATATGAAAATGCTGCTCTGTTTTGATCAGGTGAGTTTTAAATACTTCCTGACATGCCATGAATGTGACAGAGCCGTCATTCACGAAGGTGATACAGTTACCTGCTCAGAGGTGCAACGGCAAAGCTGACAGCCTGGCCTTTGTTACGGCTGACGTTAAAAGAAGGTCAGACTGAGGGGTTGCAGACAGACAGGTCAACTGGCAGCCTGGGATGGTGCCGAAGGTGCTTCCTTTCATTCAGAGTTGGAATCCAGCAGCTTGTAAATGCTCTTGATATTTCGTCTCTTGCGACTGGCTCTTTGCCTTTTGGTATTTAACAGTTTGTTCCTGGCAAAAGATCAACCCTAATTTGAATTTAGGGTGGTGGGGGTGGGGTGGCGGAGGAGGAGGATGAATAAACCCCACAAGGGTTGTTTAGAGGAAATATACAAGTTGGCATTGTGTGTGTTAGTTCACTTGGGGTTCTAACTTTCGATAGGGAACAATGCATAAAGAGAAGCTGAGCTCTGCAGCACAAATGCATCTCACAATATGCAGACGATTCACTGCACAGTCTTCAGAAAGGGGCTTCATTAGGCATCTGGCGTTATGGCCATTTTTAATCAAGGGGCACCGAAATTTCAGAATCTTGGAGAAATGTGGTGTCAAAAATAAATAAATCAGTGCATCGTCTTGTAAATTTGGAAAGGATTCCCCTTGCAACCTTGAATACTTTATGCGAGGGGTTGAATTCCACAATGAAATGCCAGCTGCCATCAACAAAAGAAAAGAAACATCCACCATCAACGCTGCTAATTGTGTCGGTATGTCAACGGTCAATGCACTATAATGTTAGGCATGCTTTTCAGTTAAAAAACTGAAGCATCAGAAATGTATCAGTTGCAAAGATTCACAAAGGATGAAGCTTCACATTCATAGGCTTACGCTAGTCTGGGGCCACATTTCATGTTTATGTACTTGATCCTGATTCAGCTGGGGTTATTGGCAATGCTTCTACTGCCTGCAGTTATAGATGTAGTCTAATTTACAACATGCCATTACAAGATCCACAGGATCATTTCACAGTGGCTGGTAGCCACAATCACAGCATCTCTGAGGCATGTGATGATGCTGAGGAATTTACCATTGGGCCATGCTAATGCGGGAGTTCTCTAGGTTGGAGCAACAACGAACTGTTAAGCTGATACTAACACATTATTGCTGCACAAAGAATCGGTGGGGATTAAGAAAGATTTTTTAAAAATTATTCCTGAAATCAAAAATTAAAAGCAAAATACAAAAACCTGAAACTTACATAGTAGCAATGAATTGCAGAGTTCATTACACCTCTGGTGTAGAGCAGTTGGGTAACAAGAACTTGTTGCCTCTGTTACATAGCTGCTTCATGTATCATGTATTCATTCCTTTTTTGTAAGCCTTTCCCCATCAAAAATACCACACCGCGATCACAGTTTTTTTGCACCAGCCAAAACACTGTTCTACTACCTTAGGTTTTTTCAGTGGAGGGTCACACAGAGTGGTGCTCCAGGATTTGGCTGATAAACAACAGGCTTAATTGGTAAAATTCATTTTCCCTGCACCCCTCAGTTCTGGAAGAAAGCCAGAACTATGCAGATGGCAGAATGACAAAGTTTGGGGTTTCTTATTGAAGAATTAACTGAGGTGTATTTGATTTTGATTTAACTAAAAGCACAGATACAGTTCCAGAGCCATGCCATTGCATACACTTCAGTTTTTTAAATAAACATTTTATTTCAAATGCTGGGTTTTCAAAATGTATAGCTGCGGTTCTGAATTATTGTGGAACGTGAGGTTTAAAAGGGATGTTGAGCAGGAACCATATGAATCCTTTTCATGAAAGAAGTTGTCACAAAGCTATATTCTACCCGTTGCTGTTTTTGTAATTAAACACTTGCCAGACACCTTTCATGTTTCTTTGCAGGGCTGTGATTTAATCCGAAATATATGATGGTATATGTCAGGACTGTCAGATATTGCACCTTATGTTTTTCTCCCCAATATTTAGGGATAAAAAATGACAATGCAATTTCTGATCATTTATTTGTCAGGGAGTGGAGAGGGGACGAATGGAGGAGACCCCCTCCTCCCCATCCTGAACCTTCAAGGGAAGAGGAAGACAATATAGATCTACAACAGTGGTTTGCGGGAGGTCACAGCTCAGAGACAGATAAGGGGCAAAGTTGGGAAATAATGGAAGAAGAGAAGGGGGAGGCAAAGCTGAGCAGCTGGCTGACACATTATCACTAGAAAGCATCCCAGACCCCCCTTCTCCCAGAACCCAGCGAGCATTGAAAGTGGGAGAGCAAAGGGCCCGGAGACAATTTGCCCTAAGTGGCCACCATAAGGTGGGTAGTGCTATTGACAATTTAGGAGAGAAGGGGGTGGAGATTACTTGGAGCAACACCATTACTCCAAAAGGCTGCATTTCTAAACCCCTCTCTCTCTCTGAATATTGAATAAAAGACATTTGTAATAACTTTCCTTGTTGATCTATTCCTGGCAGCCTACCGTGGGGGGTGGGGATTGGATTTCCTGACGCCTAACATTATTTCCCTGGAAATCTGTAATTCTGCCACTCAGGATACTATAATCATACTATAAACATTGCCCATCTTTATAGGAAATCAGATGGCTTCCCTCCACCACCCATCTCACTAGGAGCCTTGCTAGCACAACATAGTGCATACCTGGTTATCCTCTTGTGAGCAGCTAAAAAAACTGCATTTTACAGTGGAAGATCAAAGATTGATTTCCCGCCTTTAAAAAAATTAAATGGCATTGCAATGGAGGGTGCTGGGCTGCTAATTTGATTGAGGAAATAGCGGGATTGGCACTGTTTTCATGATCTCAATGCCACACAGAACCTGTATTTTCCCTGCTCTGCTATGAAAGCCTATTCCTATCTACACACAACCGAAACATGTATTTCTCAATGCCGTGGTTCTCATGTCTGAGAGGGGTCAGAAATAAAGTTAATCAAGGAAAAGCATCACCCTCTCATCTGAATGACCTCAGTGTGTATTTTGATTGAGTTACATAGAGGTAGAGTGCCAAACTATTCCTAATTATGGATGTTGGACAATTCTGTGGGAAATGGAAAAAGGAATAGAAATTGCCAATGTTTGCTTATTCACTCCATGTCTGGAATGGCATACCCTCCAACAAAACTTGCAGCTTACCAGATGGGTGGTCCGATACCGCCCAAAGTGTCCCGCCGCTGGGGCATCATGGGTCATCCGGAGAACCTTGGCCCACAGTGGCCCTGGCGGGATGTACAGGCGACCGTGGTGCAGCAGAAGGCCCTGATGCAAGACCAGCCCCGGATACTGGGGGCATGACCCTTTGGCCAGTTCCTGAAGTCGTCCCTGGGCCCAAGCGTCGACCCGCTGCTGTTCCCGCACCCGAGCCTGCAGTGGCTCAGCCTCCTGAGTGGCCAGGAACGCAGCCGGTGGTAGGATTGTGGTTGATACTGCTTGCTGTACCGTGTCTGCAATGTCTTCAGGTTTCCGGGACAGGGCATCCGCCTTCTGGCTTTGGGAGCTAGGGATGTAGCGGATTCGGAACTGGAACCGGGAAAAGAACAACGCCCACCGGATCTGCCTTTGGTTCAGCTTGCGGGTGGTCTGGAGGTACTCCAGGTTCCGGTGGTCGGTTCTCACCTCCACCGGGTGTCGTGCCCCCTCAAGATGGTGGCGCCAGACCTCAAAGGCCACTTTGATGGCCAGTAGTTCCTGCTCCCACACGGTATAGTTACGCTCCGCCGGAAGGAGCTGGCGGGAATAGAAGGCGCAGGGTAACAGTGGTGCATCAGGTCCACGCTGCTGGGACAAGACGGCACCGAGAGCCGTGCTGGAGGCGTCAGTCTCTACCACAAAAGGTCGAGAGGGATCAGGATGTTGCAAGATCGGCGCTCTCTGGAAACAGGCTTTCAACCCCTGAAACGCCTCCTCCGCCTCCTTGTCCCAGGAAAATGGCATCTTGGGGCGCAGTAGCCGGGTTAACGGGGTGGTACGATGAGCATAATCTGCAATGAAGGTCCGGTAATAGTTGGTGAACCCCAGGAATCGCTGTAGGTCCTTGCCCACTCCCGAACCGCTGCCACCTTCCCGGGATCCATCTGCACCCCATCTGGAGAGAGTCGGTGACCCAGGAAGTCCACTGACCACTGATGGAACTCACACTTGCTGAGCTTCGCATACAGGCGGTGCTCCCGCAAACGCTGCAGCACGGTCCGGACATGACCCTCGTGGCGAGCCGGGTCACGGGAGAAAACCAGAATGTCATCCAAGTACACCACCACGTACTTGTCTAGCAAGTCCTGGAACACGTGGTTGATGTACCGTTGGAACACCGCGGGCGCGTTGCACAATCCGAAGGGCATAACCAGGTATTCGAACTGCCCAAACCGGGTCCCGAATGCAGTCTTCCACTCATCCCCGGCTCGGATCCGAATTAAATTGTAGGCCCCCCGGAGGTCTAGCTTGGTGAACACCTGCGCCCCTTGCACCCGCTCCAGCAACTCCGAAATAAGGGACAAGGGGTACCGGTCTGGGATGGTAATTTTGTTCAGGGCCTGGTAATCATGGCAAAGGTGAAGCTCCCCACATTTCTTCTTAACGAAGAGCACTGGCGCAGCGGTAGGCGAGGTAGAAGGCC